ATGCTGGAGGGAGGGGGCTGAGGGGCTGGGAGCCATGGGAGACCAACTGGGGGCCCTATTTGGCAGGGAGAACCCTCTGTGAGCCTCCCTCACTCCCCAGAGGGCCGCCCACTTCTCTGCCTTTGCCTGTGTGTCGTTCCCTCCGCCTGGAACGTTCTCCTTTCCCCTCCCCCACATGAGGAACAACTGCTCTGCCATCAGGGATTGGTTACCTGCCACCTCCGAGAAGCCATCGGATTTCCCTCCCCTCGTCACGCCCCCCCCACCTCCGCACCCACATCTTGCACCACGTTGTCCCTACTCCTCTGATCTGTGAGTCTATACGTCTCCCCCAGCAAACTGGGGTTTCCTTGCAGAGAGGATTTTGTTCAGTTCTTTAACCCCAGCACAGTAGCTACTTTTTAAAAGTTAGCACATACTGGCCACCTACTCTGCGCCAGGCACTTTACAAAGAGAGCCTCTTTAATTCCTCAAAACAGCCTGAGCTGGGTTCCCTTCCTAGTGTGCCCCTTTCATACAGGACCCCGGGACTCGCCCTGTCTGGGAGAGGAGGTAGGCCTTGAAGCCATGCCTTTCTGACATCAGAGCCACCATCATGGCTGGCTCCCTGCAGACAGAAGTTCAGGACTCGAGGTCCGTGCTGGCCATGCCACTTAGCTCTTTGTCCCCTGAAGCCCTGACTTCTTTATCCATAAAATGCAAAGGCAGATGCCTCCAGCTTTAAAGCTCTATGCCAGTAGCAGGAAAGGCAACAATTGTGCAGCTTGTTTTAAAGATTATTCTCTGCTTTGTTTAATTACGCCCTTCTGCCCGTGGCCTCCGGAAGGCTGGCTGGGCGAGACAGGTTTGTTTCCTCCTGGCAGTTTGGAGCAGGGAACAGAGCCCAAAGCTGGGGTCTCAGACACTGGGGTTCAGCTCCTGCTCTGCGTGGTCTGCACTACCCAGCCCTGGGTCTGGTGTCTGAGGCCAGGGGGAGCCAGCTGAGCCAGATCAGAGCTGGCCTCTGGGGCTGCGAGCCGGGCCGCGTGGGCTCTGAGGGGCCTGACATCCTGAGTGGCCCTAAAACTCAGGCTGAGTCCTGCACAGATCATCCCCAGCCCCTCCAGGGGAAGCAGAAACCTAAGTCCCCAGCTAGGCAAGCTGGACCGTGGGAGGCAGTGCCCACAGCGCTGGCTGCCTGAGTGCCCAGCTGTGCCCACACTGCCCCTGAGCACTCCCAGACAAGTCCGGCCACACCACACTGGCCAGGACAAAGGAGCCGTGGAAGAATGAATCAATGGGCCGGGAGCCACTGCATCTGAATGCTTCCCCCAGGGCGTGAATCTCTCTTCCTGCCGCCCAGTCAGCCCGCCCTTTCCCTTGTTCTGTCTCTGCTCCCTCTCCCTTCCCTCGCCTCTTTTCTTTTTTCCCTCTCTCTCCTGCACAGCTGCCTCATAAGAACTCAAGACGGTACTCCACAGCCTTGAAGTGGAGGGAAGGCCGCAGGGTCCAAGTTGTGCTGTTTGTTCTCAATCAGAGAAGATTCTCGCTGGAGGTAACCCAACTCAGGCAACCTGAACCCCAATCTGCAGGGACCGTGACTTTCTCACCAGCCTTTGACCTCTGATTAAAATCTCAAACATAGCTGGGAGTTTGCTGAGTTGTGAAGTCACCCCCTACACACACACACACACACACACACACATGCATGCATCACACCCACCTGATTAGGCCAGAGGCTGAGTGGATGGATGGATAGATGTTTAAGAGATGGAGAGGTGGGTGCCACCGTGGGTGGACAAACAAAGCTGGCTCAGCAAGTGAAGGCATGATGGGTAGGAGGCTGGGGGTGAATAGGCAAGCAGAAAGCTGGGGAGCAGAAAGGTGAACACAAGTGTTTTGCATTGGCCGTGTGTGGAGGTGCTGATGGGCACCGCTGGGGGCCAGGCTGATACCCGTGCAAGGTGGTTATGCCGCGCCAGCGCGTACATGGGAACCAAGCGTGACTGGTCAGCTTGGACAGCTTCCACACATCCAGGTGAGCTCCGAACAATCTCAGGTCAACAGGACCGGAGGGTGACAGTAAGTCAGTAAAGAGACCAAGGCCATAGAAAGGTGAGAGACTGGCCCAGAGCAGAGGTTGCAAGTTTTTTCTGTGAAGCATCAGGCGCAGTTCAGGCTTGGCAGGTGGCGCAATCCAGCCACACCCACTCAGCGCTGTGGCTGCAGCGCAGAAGCAGCCACGGACCACGGGCAGCGAGTGAGTGGGCTGTGTTCATTAAACTTTATTTGGAGGCTATTGAAATTTGAATTTCATTGTAATTTTTCACTATTGTACAACAAAAAAGATTTCTTTAGTATTTTTTAATCTATT